TGTAATAGCCTGGAGATGCCCCTACAACCCTGAGGGCAGGAAAGGTCCAGCCAAGTAGAAGAGATGGTTGAATTTCACTGCCTCTTCCTTTGTTCTCACAGTCATAAGGAAGGGAGACATGAGTCACTCCACTTTTCAGTTGACAACACTGATGCTCAGAAACACGAAGCAAGCTAGGTATAAATCACCATGGTGTGCTGTCCTGGATGTATGTGATGCCCCAGCCAGGAGAGCCAACAAGGCAGCCTTCCTCCAGGAGGGGAGGTTTTGTGGTACAGTATCCCCACTCTTACCCTCACTCCCAGCCACCTATCACCTCTTCCTCTGCCATAGGCTCCAGGGTACCACAGGGACTCCAGCCATCTCCCGAGGGGTACCCTTGCATAGATCTATACCGTCAAGCTCAGGACAAAGCAAATCCAGTCTTTAGAGTTCTCATTCCCCAGAGCTTTCCTGGAAACAGCAGAAGTTATTTTTAAAAAAGCAGCAGCCCTAGCCAGTAATCTGGGAGACGAGCTCAATCTGATCTTCTCCTCTGTGGGCCGCCCTGCTCAGGGCTCAGCCTGGAAGCCCAGCAGCTTTCACTCCACCACCTGCTCAAGGGCTGTGGGAGAGGAAGGGGATGGTCACCTGCCCAGGGAAGAGATCTGGGTCTACTTCAATGACCTCCACCTCTACTAGTGGGAGGAACCATGGATTCCCAAGGGGAATGTTCTGTGCACATGCCTGGGGTCTACACATGTGGGTCTCAGTGAGATTGTGTGTCCTGGCAGGTCCTGTAGAGTGTCTCTATATCTTATGCAAATGTGGTATTTAGGCACATGTGCCTGTGTCTGTGTCTCTGCAAGCCAATACATGTTGATGTGACTCTACCTCTGTGTGTTTGTGTGTGTGTGTGTGTATCCTTCTACATCTGTTTGTTCCTGTGTGCATATGTGGAAGTATATGTATGCATAAGTGTTTATGTGTGTCTGTCAGGAACAAACTTTTCTCTCCCACTGCTCCAGTCACAGAAAAGAAAAGGAATCTCAGAGAAGAAGAGGGACTTGCCCCAAGGGCAGTTAGCTGCAGAAAGTACCAGAACCCAGATGTGCTTTTTGCATACCAAAGCCTATTCATCTGGTGACCCATCCAAGTTCCATTTCCAAGCTGGGCCCTCCCTGCTTCTATGGATGGAACCAACTGTAGCCATCACACACTGTGCTTCAAATGGGGGGCAGGGAGCAGGCACATCCCATGCATCTGTACGGACTCTGAGTAAAACATTGACTAGTCCAACAAGTCTTGCTTTGGGGAAAGAAAATCTACTCAACTTGCTGGCCTCCAGCCCTGAGCCCATGGAGCTCCTGAGAGGTGGGGCTTGGCCTCTGTTTTCAAGAACTGAGTCTAACAGGTTAGATGGGTAAACTGAAAACTATGGCATGGAGTTGAAAGGGCCTAGTCATGGACAAAGGCTCAAAGAGGCACAGAGGGAGGGGGCAACTGATTCTGTCTAGGGGACCAAACAAAGCTCGGGAGGAGGTAACATTTAGATTAGAATTTTTTGAGCAAATATGCCATTGAAATAAGTAAGATACGGAAAGAGAAAAAGCATTCAAAGCTGGGAGCACAAAATATGCAGCAGCATCTTACCCTCTTCCTGATATCTTGTTCTAGAGAGAGCCAGCCCCTTTCTCCCTGAGTCCCTTATGCATACTCCGGTTATTCCCACCACCTGGAATTCATTCACTCATTCAGCAAATATGTCTTGGGCACCAAAAAACTCCCAAATTCCAAGCGGTGTCTGAAGGTAGGAAGCACTGAGGTTCCCATTTCCTCCTTGTGTGACCTTGTGCCAGGGCAGTGAATGGACCAGACCCTGCTCAGAGGAGGGAGCTCGCTGAGCACTGTGGTATGCCAGGCATGGGTCCTTACAACAGCACAGAAATTCAAGTCCCCAAGGCCCTGTTTCTGGAAAAGGAAATGGAAGCTATTTGTAGCCTTCCATGCCAGGGAGGTTTGTGTGGCACGGAATCTGGATTCTTTCTGTAAACTGTGCTGACTCATTTGCAACCCAAAGCACAGGCCCTGCCAACTCTGCTGGGGCTGATCTTTTGCCTGTGCCCATCTTGCTGGACTCTTGAGCTTACAGTCACAAAAAGCCAGCTGAGCTGGGGGACTCGAGGCAGGAGGCTTGTCAGTCCTTGGGCTCAAAAATCCCCTCTCCAAAAAGACAGTGTGCACCCAACAAGCTTTGGATCAGAAGGAGGGTGTGGACAACGAAGGGGGCCTGACTGGCTCCTCAGCCTTCCGTCCTTCTAGCAAAGTTCCTCTACCCAGAACGCTTCATGTCTCAAGCTACAAGGAGGAAGTATACACTGAGAGGACCCGAGCAGATCATAAGCAGGAAGCTATTGGCACCTGCTCGTCAATGTCAGCCAAGAAAAAGTGCTTCCTCTGCATTGCATGCCAGCTATTCTATTTGGGAGGTTGGTTTTATTTATTTCATTTTATGAGTGTTTTGCCTGCACGAGTGCACCCATGTCATGGAATGCCCGTGGAAGCCAGAAGAGGGTGTCAGACCCCCTAGAACTGCAGTTAAGGATGGGTGTTAGCCACCATATGGATGCTGGAAACTGAACCTGGGTCCTTTGCAAGAGCAACCTGTGCTCTTAACTGCTGAGTCATCTCTCCAGCCTCCTTGGGAGTTTTTTGAAGCCTTATTTATCACTGAGCCTTCAGTGTGTAACTTCCTATGAGGAACTGCACCCTCACTTTGCAGAAGACTCATGACTATTGGGATATATAGACTGAGGAAACCCAGTCCCTGACCTCAAAGAACCTGTGTTCAAGAATTACAAGCACTCAGTGAACCTCCAGGGTGCTGACAACTAAGATTAAAAGGAGCAAACTGGAAAGGTACACAGGGACTCCCTTCCCAACACAGACTCCGAACTGCTACATGGAAGAAGCCTCATGTCAGAGCTGAGCCCTGAAGGTGGTCTAGCCAGAAATGGAAAGGAATGTCGGCAATAGATCAAAGGCTCAAGAAACCCCAGACGCCAGCCTTCGAGTCATGGGAGCCCTGTTCTGCTGCTGTATCTGTTAGTCAGCTGTGGTCTGGAAGTTTGGCAACAAGGATCTGGGGTGGACTTCAGAAACTAGAGAGCAGCTGGTCCTATACCCAAAGTCAATAAGTTTCTAGTTTCCACCTTCAATAACGGGCCCCTGTACTGCTGCTGCCTGTCTTACACTGCCTACCTCACACTGTCTCACATCCCCTTACATGCTGACCAGAGAACCATTGTACTTAGAATTGAGGCTTCTATAGGCACTTGGCTTCAGCCCCTAGCCGGAGGAATGGCTCTCTTTCTTCCCTAGAGCACACTCTCTGGCTGCTTTGTATAAGATTCCACTTATGGATGAATCCTAAAACATCCTCAGGCCCCCAGTATTTTGGCATGGAACTGGAGCTCAGGGAAATCCCTGGATTTGGAGTCAGGAAGGCTTGCCTTGGACACTAGCTCTGCCGTTTGTGGAGCTTGGCAAGTCACTGTGCCTCTGAGGCTCACTGTCCATAAATACAAAACAAGGTACTGTTCCCAAGTACAAGAAACACAGCACACAAAATCCTCAAGAGCCACTGAAATATAAATGGGGTATCATGACCATAATCATGAATGGCAGTAAATGTTCACTCATCAAGTATTTTACCATGGCCCCTGTGCCAAGCTCTATGCTGCTTTTTGTGCCTTCCTAGCTCACATTTACCATGTCTCTGGATTGCATCAAGGCCACATCAAGTGATTAACATGTTCCACCTAGGTGTCTGTAAGTGCTCTGTGAGGTTCACCCAATGACTCATTCTCAGAATGTGTCCCCATCATTAAGCAATGCATGAATGTAAATGGTTCGTGCCTGAGTAGAGCAAGCCTAGGAGACAGAGTTGTCAGGGAGTTGTCTTGCCCAGCCTGGGAAGTCCAGACAAGTTTTACAGAAGCAATATCCCAATGAAGCGAACCAGGCCAGGCTGGCTCTCTCAGGTGTTCCAGAGAGAAATAATAGTGTGGGCAAAGACCAGGAGGCGAGAGCAAGGGTCAGTGTGGAAGAGCACAAGAGTAAGAGAACGTGTTGAACCCGTAAGCTGGGCTGGCCAACTTAAGTACAGGAGCAGAGTTAACTGCATTCTCTTCATGTCTTTTAAACAGATTGCAAGCAACTTGTTGCGTCTTTTAAAAAGTAAAAACTGAAAAATCACAACACATAAATTTAGATCATATTATAGTCATCGGAACCCAGCGTAGCCCAAAACAAGAATCCAGGGAAAATGTTGGGAAACAAAATGTTGGAAAATAGTTCAATCAACACATAAGACAGAAATAGTGGGCAAAACAGCTCCTTTTTCTAAAAGTCATTTATAGCATCAAAAATCTGAATCATGATTCACCGGTAAATTCCGCCAAACATTTAAGAAATAATATGAATTCTACTGAAAAGCTTTTAGAAAATAAGAGAAAACCTTCCCAATACACTTAAGAGGCCAGCAAACCAGACAGCAGCAGCATAAGAAAACCACAGACCAATAACCATCATGAACATAAACACAGAAATTGCACGAAATGTTAACAAATTTAATACAGGCATCAGCACCTTCCCAGGAGAAAACCCCCATTGTTGAAATCAACCACTTTGTTAGAATCAAATCATTTACTGTAGGTAAGTTAGCCAGAAAGTCTCAGTTACAAGTGGTTTTCAAAAACAAACTGAAAGAAGTGTTGGCTCATGCTAGAAGCTCAGGCACCACTGGAAACAGGCCATTAATGTCACCAGGAAGCCAGCTCTCTCTCCCTTCTCTCTAGATTGTCCCACTGTCTCAGGCAAGCTCTGGTCCTGGGGTGGCAAATTGCTGCCATTAACACCCGGCCTTTGTCCACATAGTCGCAAGTCAACCAGCGAAGCCTAGGTGGGTTATTTGTGGGTTTTGTCCAAGCATTCCACCTCCAACCTTGTCCTTTCCACAGCCCTACAGACAGAGACCCTTGTTGAGAACAGGAAGGAAGTTTCCACCACCCTGGCCTTGACATCTGGCACAGCCTTTGTCTCATCTGGTCTCCTCCCACAAGGTAAGCAGAGTGGGTGCGGATGTCGCAGCCAGTTTACAAATAAGGAACACAAAGTCCAGAGTGCAGGAAATTACACAGCTGCTGGGACCAAAATTTGGGTTCAGATCTATCACAAGATTTCATCTCAGTGTGCTCCATTCTCAGCATACCTCTCGCCTTCAGTCTCCTAAGGGAAAGAGAAAGAACCTCAGCTCACTGGGTGCCCAGGCCAGTCCTGAATCACCTTTGGTCATGTTTGCTTTCCATTCTAACCCTGCAAGGTAGTGCCATCTGCCTGAGACCTGAGAGGCAAGTAACCTGATCAAGGTCGTGAAGCTAGGAGGTCCTGCAGCTTTCCCATGACCTTGGTGGTACCGAAAAGGCCGCCCACCACCCACATCTCACAAGAGCCAAGAGTTAATTGGAAACCTAAGCTTTGAAAACTTCCCACTTGGCTCCACCCTCCTCCTCCCCACCTGAATCCAGGGCCATCTGTTCCCTTTTGTGAGGATGTAGGGAAAGATGAAACTAAATTTAAATACTGATAACACTCCACATTTGTCTGGAAAGTGTTCTGCACACCAATTGCTGATTAATCCTCCAGCCCCAGAGACATCTCCCTATCTCTGTGCCCCTATTCTGCAGACAGGCTGGTAGCTTTCAGACAAAAAGAAGCTGACCAGAGATTGGTAAAAGGGGATTAGGACATAATAAATAAATTCATTCAAGTCATTGTTGCCCCACAGCTAACAACATTGGGAGCTGAGTCCAAATGAGGCTTCAGCTTTCAAGTAACGGCTTGATCTGGAGCACCTCTTAGCCTTGGTTCCTTATCTGTGAAAGGAAGATAATGTTCCCTGTTGGTTACACTGGTCCTTCCCAATTTTTTAATTTTATTCATACATTTTTGAGACAAGGTTTCACTATGTTGCCCAGGCTGACCTTGAACTTGAGATCCTCCTGCCTCAGCACCAGACATGCTAGGATTGCAGCCAACTTATTGAACGTTCACCAAGGGCTGACCACTGGGCCAGGCACTGAGATGCCACATTGAACAAGACAAGGCCCTTGCACCCATATCACTCATAGACTACTTAGAAAAACAGATAAAAATAAGGAAATAAATAATGAAGCAAACTTTCAATTCATTTTCATGAGATTATTAAGAAACAATTTTGTAAATGTATTTTGAAAATCATAATATGCTGCAAAAATTCTTGCAGATGGTGTTACAGTTATCAAGAAATCAGAGACATATTCCCTAAGAAATGGGCACAGCAGACAGAATCATGGACCCATGAGTTTTATTGAGACAGGGAGCAAAAGGCAACTGTCTCCAACATTTTGTTCCATTTCTTTCCTCTTTTGTCAGTCCCCTTTATACTTCCCCAGGGCTTCCTGGGCTGGCTGTACACTCAGACCTCAAATTTTGCCTTTTCTTGTGGAGTTGGTCACTGTGACCACATGGTTTTCTGGCTATGATAGTTGAAGTCCCATGATTCCACAACAGACTATCAGAGAATAAGATTCAGGCAGGGTCTCCAAACCCACCACTGTCTTAGCCAGTTCAAAGTCACCCTAACTTTCTTACCCATCCATCAACTCTGGATCCCACTTCTTTAAGGGAGCTTGAAAAACAGCTGTCTTTACAGAGATGACTTGGAGTTAGAAGAATAAGATTTAAATCCTGCCTCTATCTCCTAAAAGCATGTAGCCCTGAGCAAGCTGAGCACACTGCCTGTAAAATGGGATTGTTGTCTGGGAGCAGAGGACACAGGTCACTCACACGGGCAACAAACCCAGAGCAATGCTTAGCTTGGTGGGGGCACTTGGGAAGCATTTCTAAACCTTCACCTCTGTGGGTTTTGTTATTGTTGTTGTTGTTGTTGTTGTTGTTTGGTCTTTTTGAGACAAGGTCTCCCTGTAGCCCCAGCTGGCCTGTAACTCACTAAGTAGACCAGGCTGGACCTTGAACTCACAGAGACCCACCTGCCTCTGACTCCCAAGGGTTGTGATTAAAAGCTTGCACCACAACACCAGGCCTCCCTGGGTTTTTAACAAGGCAAAATAGAGCAAGGTTGCAGTATACAACTTGTCCACCAGGTGGCCCCTGCTTGAGGAAGCCTTAGTATGTGAAACAAATTCATGTTTTAGCTTATAGAATCTATAAAGCCTCAAAAATTCTGTGTATGCCATTCATTTTAAATATCCCTTCAGTTTAAAAGTTGACTGTCTATCCCTCCATGGTGAAATACCAGTGTAACTCATTCCGAGGCAAGGTCAAGAAAGCCCACACAAGCCACAGCTTCCCCATGCAAAGACATGCAAGCTATTCTGAGGTCCACAGCAGGTTTAAGAGGGTCTTTCCTTCTCTGCAAAAGGTGGTGCCAGAGAAAAGGATGGGCATGGCTAGGATGTACAGAGATTGTCTTATAAGAATGTCAAGGAAACACCCCTGTTTATAAACATGTGGGAAAAGAAGCAGAACTGCACACTTGGCTGGAAGAACCTCCTCTGCCCTAGGTACATGGGTGCCACCTCCACACCACACACAGTCTGACCGTCATCTCACAGGACACCAGAACTCAGGAAATGGCTAACTCACTAGCCTCTTACACAGCAAACGGTGACAGTGAGATTCAAACCGAGAACTCTGTGAAGACCCATGCCAGGAATGTTTTAGGCGCACACAAGGAGAGCATTGGCTTTCAATGCTCCAGTACAAAAAGCAAAGCATAGGGAAGGTGAGTGCAAGGCGGTGGCTGCTGGAGGCTCCAGTCTCCGTGGGCTACCTCTGGCAGCATGTCAGCCTGCACCATCCCAGCCCACACACAGGTACACATCCCCTAAACCTTTAGGCTTATACATGGGTGCATACACTTCATGATTTGAACTCATGGCTGCCCAAAGGCATGTTGCAGAGGCAACTCGTGGCTCAGCAGGCCCACACCTGACTTAAGTGCATTCCCATAGGGGAAGGGACGGCATGCAGCTGGGGACAAAGGCCCGCCCAGGGAGCAGTCCACACAGGAGAGTCCATGCCAGGAAGCTGCTGATGAGGACAGCCTGCAGTGGGACCTGCAGCTCTGAGCTGTTCTCCTCTGCAAGCACCGAGCCCCCACACTCCTACTGCTGTGATAACCCTGCTTCTAGGAACCCTGAAGCTGCCTCCACATGGCAGACTCAGGAGGAGTAAGAGCCCTTGACAGCAAGGGGCACATGAGCAGCTCTACTGCACAGGGCCTCAAAAGTAGTCCTGAGATGCACAAGAGGCATGGGGCTGCAGGCTTGGGAGCCAGAACACCTTCTGGCCCCTGAGCTCCCCTCCTGTCAAGCTGTGAGGGCTCTTAGGCATGTCCTTTATCTCTTCAAACCTCAAATTTCTCATTACTAAAGTAGGGGTCTCGTGCTACTTGCAAGCATCTTCAAGTAAGGTAAGAAATGAGATAAAGAATGTAGACCATCTATTAAGGACTAGGTAAGTGCTGATTGGCTTTTCCTTGCCTTATGCTTCCAGTATACACTGCTCAATGCAACAGACAGATGGACACCATTCAACTAGTGACAAGCATTCCCCCCATAGTCTATTCCCTCTAGGAGCTTGGAGAGCTACCAAGAAGATAGGGGCATAAACACATAATGAGCAAGGGGACACTGGGCACTGTGGGAGTCCAGAGAAGGAAATGACAAAGCAGGGCAGTGCCCAGAACAATGGATGCTGGAGCCACTTTGCAGGCTGAGAATCCAGGGAATCAACCCGTGACAGCAGTCTCCTGATGCCCTTGTTAATCACTTCCTTTCCCCCTCCTGCACAGACATGGAAATTTATTGAGTGTCTATTGTGTGCTAGACACTTTATATACATGTTCTTATTTAATGAAGCAATGCTCCAATAACTTAGTGAAGAAGCCGTTGTTATCTCCTAGAGAAAAGGAAACCAGGAGAGGAGGAATGACCTGTCCAGTATCAGAGATGACGGTCAAGCCCACTCCAAACTGCATGCTCTTTTCTCCATTCCGCTCTTGTGATATGCTTGTTTGCCAGTGTATTTCTCTAGCAGGAGATGATGAAATCTTCAGGAAAGATGGAGTATTTGGAGGAAATTAGGCCTTGGGGCATGCCCTTGAAAGGGATATTGGGGGACCTTGGTCCCTCCTGTCTCTGTCTTTGCTTCCTGACCACCCTCATGTGAGTAACTTTGCTCCAGCCTGTGTTTCCTATCATAATATTCTGCCTTGAAACAGGTCCAAAACAACAGGGTAACCAATCCCAGTTCAGAACCTCCGAAATAGTGAGCTAAAATAAACACCTCCTTATAAAGCTGATTTAGCTCAGGTACTTTGTAGAGTTAATGGAAAGCCTAATAACATAACTGGGAAGCCACATTGTATCCTCATAACTGAGCAGCTCCTCAGAGACCAGCACCCTGTGGAATGGCCATGGGGCCTATACTGTAGTTATAGACAAGCACTCTGCCTTGGTGACCCTCCAGGCTCTCCTGTGCTGCACTGTGGGTGGATCTAGCACTGGCTAGCACCTCTGTGTGGTAGGCAACATTTCCAGAGCCCAGGGAATCTGAGAGTTCTGGCTTTAGACTGTCAATACACACCCAACTCACAACAACCTTACAGATGAGGAGACTAAGGATGGTGAGATGAAAAATGAGGGCTAAAGAAAGTGCTCCCTACCTCCAGATTCCCCAATAGGCTCTGGGGAACCATTGCTCCAAATGACTAACTACCCACAAGCTGAGCTAGGATTAACAGAGACTTTCATACAATGGGGTGCTGAGCTGTTCAACCAGCACCAGTGGGAGGGTCAGTGGGCCAGCAGACAGCAGCAGTACCAGTGTCCATCAGCTGGTCTCTGAGTCAGCTCAATGAGGTCAGCTGGTCAGACATCATACTCTGGCCTGCAATGACTCACTCTTATCCAGGCCTCTCTCTCCATCTGTGCCTTCCCAAGCCTTGGGGGATACAAGGCATGGATGTGTTGCCGTATAGCCTGATGTTCCTCAACTC